GCTGAAGCATTGTTGCTTGTATCCTTAGAACTAAAGTCTTTGGAGCAATCTTCAATGCTGAACTGGACCAAAGGAGTTGTGCTGAGACTGAGTGCAGAGACATTGATAGGAGTTGAGGGAGACGACGCGGCGGTTTTGCCAGAGACCTCATCATTCAGCTGGTTTGCTGTTTCTTCTTCTTCATCGCTCTCCACTATTCTAAGGGGAGGAAGTGGTTCAAAGACTAAAGAGTCACTGTCTGAAGTGGAGAGTACTGAATGCTTTTCAGGACCTGATGTTGAGTCAGAGGACAAATCTATCAGATCTAAGTCTTCCTTGGGACCAGCAGGTTTAACTGGAGAGTCCACTTTCACTTCATAGGTTTCCATGCAGTTTAACCTAACTTCTGGTATGACAGGTCTTCTCGTTTCCTGGAAACTCTCTGTACGAGGAAGATTTTCTTGTGTTTCTATGTTTTCAGCTTTAGTAGAAGAATTCTGCCGAGGTCGTCCATAATCACTCTGCCTGTGTATGGCGTAAGTAGCAGGGACAGGTGGTTTTTCTAAGTCACACCGGTCTATGCAGGACTTCCTGCGATGTTCATCTAATGAAAACAACAGGGAGTCTGCATTCCCTATATCAAGAGATTTTTGTTTTAGAGAGCGCAGTTTTTTTTTCTGAATGCTTTCTTCTCTCACACAGCGTAGAATACTGTCTTGTAAGGCCCCCGTCTCTCTATATTCAGCCAGCTCTATTTCACCTGATTAAAACAGAAAGAGCTAATACTACCTCAGTTGGAGACTTACAGCAGGTATCTTAATCTTTATCTCACAATTCAACACGACTGGCATTTCAAATACAAACGCAGTATTAGTCAAAATTGTCTAAGTTTTGTTTTAACCTCAGAGCCACATTACAGATTTTTACGATGAACAACAAAAACCCTACTATTTGGATAATAGGGTTTATCTAAATTCTATCCAAATTCTACTCATCCTGGACAGATGTACCCTGAAGATAGACTGTTTAACCTCATGCATTGAACAGAAGAGAGCACAGGCAAGTAATTTCTACAGACACTTGGGATGGCTACATTTCGCATAAGAAATGAAAGAAGAAATGAGCTACAGAAACCACTCTGAAGAGGTTTCAAAATAAATTTGGACTACAGCATTGTGGACATCATTTGGACACCAGTGTGTATCAGAGCACATCTACATGTTATTTACTGCAGCAAAGTGGGCTTAAAATGGATGCTTCTAATTCAAGAAGCAAGGGTAGCAATAGCAGTGAGGATGCGGCAGCACAAGTCTGAGATCAGACAGGTGTTCAGAGAATTTTTCCCCCAGTGATCCTAGACCCCAGCAGAGTCTAGCAGCTGTCACACCACATAGTCATACCTCCCTGTCCTAGGGAGGAGTAAAGTGAGCACAGTTATACTTGCTGGTAATACCACTGCACTGGTATTTTATTATTAATTGAGAAAATTTTAAAAGGTTATCACTGTTGTTATTATGAAAGATATATTTTCACATAAAACAGAATATTCCTGATCATTATTATCCCCATATTTCAAAATGCTCCACATTATATATCACCATGCAAAAAAAGCAGTGGAAAAGTTAAAGCAGATGTTTGCTCTAGTCAGAATCATTCCCCCCGCCATGCAAACACCTGAAAGAAAAAAAGGCAGGTGGGTGGTGGTGGAAATATCTTCAAATTTTTTAGGGTACTCACTTCAGAAACCTAAATTTGAAAACAAAATCCTTCCTATCTTTTGAAACCACCAAATGACCCTTTTTACCAATGGAAAACCCTAATATTTGCAGCAGCAACAACAAATTTGCTTACCCTCATCAAAAAAATCAATTTCTGGGAAAAAAATCAATTTAAGTAAAAACCTTCAGCCCAACAGTGGAAGAAAATTGCAAGAAATTTCTGAAACATTTTTACAATCAAAAGAGCTTAAAGTTTCAGAAAACAATCGCTGATTTTAGATATTTTTATTTTAGAGTGCCTACTTTGAGACTCCTGTAAGAGAATCCATTCAGGGAAACGAGGAGTACCTGCTCCCAAAAGTCAGAAAGAGTCCTTGTATTCAAATTAGGCAGTGCAACAAACTCTACAAAGAAAGGTGGTAGCTTGAAACTAAGAGTAGGAAATTGTATTTCTGTGTGAGTTTATACCAACAAAACAATTCATACTTCTCTGAGCATTCATCTCAACTGGTTGATATTTCACCATTTTGCTGCCACCAATTCTTTTCAGTCTTGCAAAGAAAGTTTGAGATTCTTTATTGCAAGGTCCAGTTGGTGTATCATGAATATCAGATTCATCAAAAACACTGTCTTCCTCTGCTGGAGAAAGAAAAAACTTTATTACTCTTAAGAGAGTGCAATTCCTTGAATGAAAAACTGTCTGTGTAATAAAACCTCAGCTAGTTTCAATTAAACTTGAATTGGAAAATGAAGAATCATCGGAAGTTTGCAAGAAAATTTATATCCCAGGTATAACTTTGCCATTTTTGTTACATCTTGAATTAAGGTCAGAAAGGACAGAGATAAATGAAAAATGGGTTACAATGCAACAAAAGTATATCAAAGCTTTTACCATTCTAAGCTGATCTTTCCTACTAATAATAATGCAGATTCTTTAGATGGAAGAAACGGAATATATCTGGATACTGACTTGAGTAAATAACTTCTGTAGGGCTCAGTGAGAAATGGTAAATGGAAGAAGATCAAAATTAGTACAAGAACTGCAAGGTCAGTAATAGATTAGGAAAATAGGAAAGTGAAAAAAGAAGAAATGGATAATCTTGGGAAGCTGGCAATAGTAACAGAATAAGACCTAAGAGTATGAATTATGAAATTACTGATTTAAGTAGTAATAGTAAAACATTATGCTCTAATTTGAGACTTGCTGGTTGAAAATGGCAGAGAGTAAGAAAGATCCAAACCTATTTACCCATCAAAAAATAACCACATCACCTGTATGAAATGGCTATAAGAAAGAAATAAAAAAAGGAAAATTCCGTATCTATCGTGTCTAGTGATTCATCTCCAAGGAAATAAGAAACTCTACTGGGACAATACTGAAAACAGAGCACTCAAGAGAAGAAACAAAAAAGTTTGCCTTGCTTATTCTAGTAAGCAAACGTGGAGAGGAAATGCATTTGGTGTCTAGGAATGAAACAGCAAGTAAGCCAAAGAGTTAGAATGGCCAAAAACTGGGATTACACTGGTCATTAATATCTTCAGCTTTGAAATTGGAGGAAAGTTTCTACTGCATGTGAAGCTATGGAACTGGCACCTAAAAGCATCAGGGATGAGATGCCTAATTGATATGATAAATCCAGAAAAATCTATCAAAGTTGAGAGTAAGAATTTCTACAGGGACTAGGTTTAACAAATTAGGAGATCACTTTTAACGTCATGCCCTATGTGTCTAACTTCTTCTTCCCCTTGGCAACAAATGCTTCTTCTCACAAGATTTATCACCAGCTCTACAACAGTCTGTACACTTGCCATCATCTCCACAACAAAGCTTGGCAGAAAAATTAGGGAAAAGGTTCTATAGTGTGAAAAATCCATCTTTACCATAGGGATTCTCGCTGCCTGACTATGAAATCCTCATCTGTTGATCATCTAAACACCACCTTTGATGATGACAGCAGCACACACACTACCTGACCAGAGACTAACAAGCCTCCTTAGAAATGGTGGGAAAGGCTTCAACTTTCCCAGTCCTTATGGAATTATATTGGCTGCTTCTTGCAGGTGGAAGAACACTTTTCTACATCCTCTTTTTTCTGCAGCACTTCTGCAAAGGAGGAGAATCAGCCCTACGATTAAGTCAGCATTTACAGAGTAAACTTTGCCCATTTATGGTCCTTTACCTCTGAGCAGCCCAAAGCCCTTCACAACAGCTCTGGAAAGCAAGTAAATATTATTCTCCTTACTTTAAACATAGGGAAACAATGATGAAGTGAGACACAAGGCCACCCACGGAATCAGTGTTGGACATGGGATTGGAACACCAAGTTTTCTAAACCTAACTTGGCACTTACTGTGAACAGCAAGATGGGCACTTAGGCACCTTGCTTTGTCTTAGAAACGTCTCAGAATCAATCCAGAAACCGAATGCATTTTATAAATGTATTATTACTACTCTCAGCATTCTTAAGTCATTATGAATTAAGTCATTAAATCAGCTCAAGACAAAGACAAATTCATAGTAAGTCCACAGTTACCTGAACCCTCTTAGCCCTCCTCCAGCAATACAAAACATCCAAGTGAGTGAGAATATCCAATACATCATTTACATCCATTTTAAGGTTGCTTCAATTTGCTAGAGCTGAGTAACAGGGTGTTCAGGTAAACAAAATTTTGTGTTCTTGTTCTGTTGGATATCTTCTTATGAGCAACAAGCAGCAAAAGAGGAAAAGGTACTGACATGCATAAAGAGTTTGTCTTGTATTCTTTAGAAGAGTTTGCTGCACACTAGGAAGACTGTTTGAGAAGGAGGATGTAAATAGCAAATAAGCAGCCAAAAGGCAAAATAGCTGAAAGGCAGCTACAGATTAACATCAAAAGAACCTGTTAAACTTTGATCATAAATACTTATCACGTAATAAACTTCACAATTGTAATGAACTACACTCAATGACACCATGTTATTTCAAGTCCCAACCTTACACCAGTTCACACCATCACAGTGCCACTGTTACAGCTAGCAAGTACATACAGAGTTAACAATCAGATGCAGACTCTAAAGGGTTGAACCATTCTGTTCCCCCTTTAGACATCTACATCATATACATCTGCATGTAAGCTAGTCAACTTCAGCTCTTTTTACAGAGAAAAGCAAACTATAGACTGAATTCATCATTTTCTCTTTTCAACGTCAATTATTTGCTACTATGCCACATTATCATAAAGTATTATCAGAATGCAGTGTCAGGCTGGTTGCACACCTTATGCGTGGGCATGATCAGTTAATATTATCATAGAAAGGTCAAGGACTATCCAGGCATGGTGACTGAACTACTAAGTATAAGGCACACTCCCTCCAAGAGAAGTTAGACTGCTGTGCTATGCTTAGCCTACAGAGAAATTGTGAATTTCTTTTACTGTAGATGGCTATAGCTGGTCAGATAAGTTACACCTTGGACTTAATTCTGAGTATTATGTTCTAAAATTCAGACCATATTTACCCATTTCTACAACATCTGCAAGACTTAATGAATTAAATCAATGACTAACATATAAATGGGAGTGTTAAAAGTACCTTTTTCCTTTTCACTGTATCGGCTTATGTTACTGTTGTCACTATACAAAGGACCAGCAGTTGCATGTGGCTTGCAGCTGTGATATTGAGCGTTGAGGGTATTGACTGTGATGTGGATTAGGTGAAGTACAATCTTGCTGATTTCACAGTCTCTGTAGGGGTACTGTTCAGTGAAAGAGAAAAACTTCAGCTTAAAAACTAACTTTTCTTCTTGGATAAACATTTAGGCAGTAAAATAGAAAAATTACAAGAATATTGTCAGCTGGATGCCCTTTGCCTTCCTTTGATCATATATTTCTAAATACATCAAGACTGTTTTCAGCTTTGCACACAGAATTATTTAAAAAAATAAAAAAACCCTGTATTAGTAAGATTTAATATATTATTTCCTTGACTTTTATATGACAAAAACAACTATTAATAATAATGCATATTATTATTTTTGATATTATA